GTGTTAGATTTATCAGTCAGTTAGATATAACAAAAATTAATCTAACGCCTTACTAGGAAGTATATATTACTTTTGTATTACGTTCGGAGAAATCCGTTTAGCCTTACCACCTCTGTTTAGTAAAGATCTAAATGTTTATGAAACGTGGCAAAAGGCCCTTCGGTCCCAAGAGGGGTCGTAGACAATATTAGGGCGTTGCGTAGGAGCATTCTCAGTCCGTAGACAGTGCTCTTACTTCCTTGTGTCTAATAAAAGTTTATAGTTTAAAATAAGGATTATTAATTATTTAACAAACAATAACTCCCATAATCCAATATTAGAGTGGTGAAGAATTGTTTTTTGTGGGTGATAATTGTGACCTTTTGTGGGAATTTTTTAACGCGAATGATTACTACATCGAGGGATTAAGATTGCAGTGAAGGTATATTGGAATGTTAGTGTGTAAGAGAAGGTTGGATTAATTAAGTTGGAGGAATAATTCGAGGTGAAAATTGCGATTGGAAAATTGTATTACTAAATGTGACATAAATCTGAAAATAATCATGACTTTGTACTGCTTAAATATTTAAACACAAAAGAAAATCACATTTTTTTTTTTTTTGAGAAACTTTTGCTCAACGTTTGACCACTCCGCGCCCTCGTCATCCTTCAAAATCTCTTCCACCGTTCCAAAATCTTCAATTTCCAGCTGTAACGAGCAACTTTTAACAATCACTCTGATCACAGACGAAGAGCAAACGAAGAGAAAGCAGTCAAACTGGCGCCGTTCAAGTTTCCCTTCTCGAAGATGTCGAAATCACGCAGCAACGACGAGAAGGACCGTGACAAGGAGAAGGAGAAGGAATTAGAGGGTGAAATGGAGAAAGAGAAGCATTACGAGAAAGAAGTGACCGAAAAGGACACGAGCGACACGGAACACGAGGAGGAGGCGAATGGTCAAGAGAAGGAGGAGGAGGATAACGCGAAAGGACAGAACGTTCAGCTACCGATGAATCGACTGCAATTGACCGCCGAAACTGAATCCAATTTAAAGTCGCCGATATTCGATTCCAATAGCCTGATGGTGAGGAACGAACAGGCTATACCGAGCTCCGGAGGAGGAGGATAACGCGAAAGGACAGAACGTTCAGCTACCGATGAATCGACTGCAATTGACCACCGAAACTGAATCCAATTTAAAGTCGCCGATATTCGATTCCAATAGCCTGATGGTGAGGAACGAACAGGCTATACCGAGCTCTCCGCCACCCTCCTACGAGCACGTTATCGAACAGGTGACGATCTGGGTTGACCTAACAGAATAGAGAGCTAACTCGTTCGTAGAAACTATCGAGATAAAGAACTCGAGTGTTGATTTTCAGATACTGTTGAAAAATTCAGCTTGTAACGGAATATTTTTTCACTTGGTTTTATTGTCAGATATACACTACCGGCCAAAAGTTTGGAATCACCTCCCACCTTTCATCAATATTAAATCTGCTGCTAATTTCTTATAGATTTGAAGTTTATCTCAATTCTACATTTATCAATTTATCTCATATCAATTGATTCGAACGATAAAAAATTCTCAAAATCGTCGACTTTTTTCTGGAAATCTTTGTGTAAATTGCGATGCTCGGTGATTCCAAACTTTTTGCCGGTAGTGTATGCATAGTAAGCTTTCATATTTTTAGCAGTTGATTTTGTTTTTATTATTTTTTACCAAAAATTCACTGCTATTGAAATAGCCATCGGTTGTTCTTTTTACATTATTTTCAATATTCCATGGTTTTTGGGGTTCAAATTCCTCTTGGAAAGTTTAAATTGTCACCTTAAAACATTGCAAAGGATATTTACAATGTTGCTTCCAAATTTTTCTGTAACAATTGCATTCTCTCTGAAACTCGTCAAGTGAGCAATTATGCATATTTACATTTAAACGATGAATTAACTCCTAGAATCTGTATTTTTTTGATTTTTGTTCTTCAAAAATCGAAGTAAATAAAATCAAAAAATTAGAGAAGGCTTGAAACAATTTTGAAAATAGACCGTATAGTTAGTGGAAATTATTAATTTATCGATTTATTTAAGCTAGGTGTAGTACAGGTTTTGCCAGGGCTTTCTGTAATATTTCAACGTAATTTTAGACGCGGCTGGAGCACGCAGCAGAGGCACAGAAGTACGAGGGAGGGAAGAACCTAGGCAGCCACGCGTCTGGCGCAGATAATAGAACAAAAGCGCCCAAGATCCTTCACAAGTCGAGCAAAGAGTTGTACAGAGCAGTGGCGAAACAGTGGGGCATCACTTGCAAGATGAGCGACCACTGCAGATGCTTGGACTGTCAGGTAACTTGTCCTTGCTGTGCGGAGGAATCTTGAAAGCTGCACCTTTTCAACGTTCTACCACCACCTTGCTGCTTTTTCAAACTTAATTCTTGCACTCTGAAATTGCAGCTACATTTTTAGCACAAAAAAGACTTCAAAGCTGAATCGATTTCCTGAAACAAATATTCAAATGCTCTACTGTAGAAGGAAATTTTTATTACACTCACTCTGTCTCAAATTCTAAAATTACGTCCGCTATTTCCAATAATGAAAAGCCACAAATCTCCTAAAAATTCCTCTCCGTCTCAAATTCTAGGAAATTAAATTCGAGGAATTATCCGATAATGAAAAGTTGCAAATTTCAATCACGAATTTACTAAAAATTCCTATTCGTCTAAAATTCTGAGGAGTGCAAGTTTGTGAAGCCACAAATTTTTAAGCTTTAACACTCATTCCTATTTTCTATCTTCTTTTCTCACACTTTTGTGCTTCCTATCCTCGTTTCTTCCACTTTTCTATTTTCTATCGTCTTTCCTTCCACTTTGCTGTTTTCTCTCCCCTCTTCTTCCACTTTGCTATTTTCTATCCTCCTCTTCTCCACTCTCCATTGTAGCTATTTTCAACGATAAAAAGAAATCGCAAATTTCCTTCGCAGAGTTGTTATTTTGACTGCGAATACGACAAAAACGAGCACCAGAAGACTGACGGAGGACTTGGCGCAGGCACGCCGATGTTCATCTCGGAGGTGATGGAAGGTTCCGCCTGCGTGTTGCTCTAAGATGGCGGAAGCAAGCCTCCAGAGTGGCGAGGGGTCTTCGTAATACTCCCCATGAGGACCAGAGATTCACGTGATTGCGCACAAACCAGGCTGACTGTTTTTCCATGGACCGAGACAACCACTACGAGCAAGGACACACTATTAAACGTGGTCCCACGACGCTTTGCAATGAAACGAGCAGCCAGTAGAGTATTTAAAGCTTCGTAATGGAAGAACAAACATGGAATTCTTAAATCTTCGTGAATTTCTATTTCGCAAACTCTTCGACCAATCTTTTCGTTTTAAAATAGAAACGTTCTTGAACTGCTAACTGAATAAATTTAAATTTCGTGTAAATAAAAAAAAAAAAGGGAGTTTATTTCGAGAACTGACGATTATCGAGAAATTCACGGAGGAAGAGAATTCCACGAAACAAGGTAAGTTACTCTGTTTCGTACAAACGATCGCAGATCAATTTTTTGTGCGGCGGCATTTCGTTGAGAAAGACCGTCTTCCTTGAGAGATATTTTGGATAACGACAAGCAAAACGACGTGTGCTTTAAAACACAGAGGAGGTTACTACAGAGAATACCGAAGATCGAAAATATCGGAGAACGGTTTCAACTTGTCAATTGTACTTTTACTCGTTGCATTTTCACTGAATGGTAGACGATCGACGTGTACGCTCGAACAGTTTGTATGTACAATAGGCGTAGAATATAAGCAACCTCGCTATTGAAGATTATTCGAAATTCTCCAAGATGGAAGTGAGCTTTCTTTTTCCAGAGCGTTTTCATATCTTTGAACGGTATTGCTCATAGATGATGTACACATAATTTCCCCAGATTATTCACTCTAACTGGACCAATTGTGCAAGGATGAGCAGCAAATATAAGAATATCTGTGGAACTGATCGTTGTTTAATTTCTGTCCAAGATCGGAGAGAGGGATCGGTTCCTTTCGTCTGGGGAAATTACAGGAGAAACTATACGTTAGCGTAAATGTTAGCCATGTTATAACACAGTGTATAAGTAAAATCGGCATATTGTCTCGAAAAATCTCAGTACTCTTTAAGTGACCATTTTTTGTCTCGTTAAATCGATCCATTCGAAAATTTCTAACTCGAGGAATGAATTCATCGCGGTTCGAAAGAAGAAACTTCCGAAGTTCTTCTAATGAAAGTAGGAAAGTTTCTACGGTATTTCGTAGGTTAAATACATTTTATCTCGACTTATACACTTTGTATTCTTCGACAACGATAAAACAGGCCTATTGTTTCACTGATTCACCGTTTGTTGTTATTGTAAGCACATTTCACAGCTTTCTCTATATAGAGTTTGATAAAGAAACTTGAAGAAACATAACGATAGACTAATAAATTGTACAATCTATTATCGGTCAGTAACGTTAAGTAGATCTTTCAGAAACGAAACAGAGGATCCAATATATTAATATTAACTCTTCACGATAAACGAACGAACACACCACTTACCTTTTCGCTGAAACAGCAAATATTGAGTCTAAGAGGTACCATCCACTTCCGGTACCACTTCCTCTCCCAGTAATCCGTGGAAGAAACGGTGCTCGAGCAGCTTTCCACCTAGGAAATTAGAAAGTATTCCCAGGGGAGCAACGTCCGCGTGTTCGTTCCTCGCGAAAGAAACGGAGAAGCGATCGATCGAGCGGCCCCTGTCGATTCTTCCGTGCGACAGAAACCGCGTGTAGCTAGGTACCTATGTGTAATTAACGATTGTAATTTACACGGATTTCCGGAGGAAATCGAAACTCGAAACACATGAAAGTATTATAGAACGAGCGTCGAATACGTGTTATTCAATGGTGTCTCGTTTGCGAAACCTTGCTCGCGAGATATTTTCACATTTTATCTTCGTATCTCTTTGATTAATTGCATCTGTTGCCTATTCGATTGGTTCTGCTTCTATTTAAATAGAGAATAGAGAAGGTCGCGAAAAATAGAACACTCGGTAGAATCTTTCTTGCTTTTGTAAGAAACTAATCCTTCAATTTTTCTCTTTCGTTCTGTTCTCCTTCTAAATTCATTTCTCGTGGTGTTAGCAAGGATTTATTCGAGGTTGTTGCGCTAACGTAGTGAATCTAGCGATTGAGCGTCAACGATTCTTTGCTGGAACGCGAAACCTCGATTGTATTAACGGAACGACGTCCTCGAACCCTCCAAGACGGACGTCGTTTTTTCGAGGATTCTATGGTAATTTTGTCCTCGTTGCAAACTCGTCGTGAGATTCAGCAGCGAGACGAGTGAAACGGGAAGAAATGGAAAGAGAGAGAGAGAGGTAAAAGAAAAATCTCGACGACAGATGATCGAGTCAATCTGAAACATAATACAGTACCTGTCTATACACTTGTCTTTTCAAACGATTACTACTTGTTCCATATGTACGAGTTCTTTTGTACCTCGCGCCGAAGTAACGATATTTCACGTGCGTGAACTATATTTAGATCGAGCCCTCCCGCCATTGCCAAATCTGTTTTTTCTATCGGTAAGAAGCAGCCTTTTTGTACAGCCGAAGCGGTGATCCCTTTTTCGTGCGATACGACACCGCGATTCGCGACGACTCGAGCAAATTGTGGAAGTTTAATCTCAATTACGGAATGAATTGTACATTTCATGCTGAAAGAGCTTGAACAGGGGAGAAAATTCTTCTTCTTTTTTTTTTTTTGCAATTTAAACGTACGAATGAATTGAAAAATATAAAAATGGTAGGTTTCAGTCCGAAAGAGCTTGAAGTGGGGCAGAAAATATTCTTCTTGGCAAATTTAAATTACGAATGAATTGAAAAATGTAGAAATTGCGAGAAATTCCATTCATTCCATTTCATTCCGCGTGATGTTGAAAAGAGGAGGATTAACATGTTTTTCCACTTTGAAAAGGTGTACTTTTCGATTAAAAGTTAATCCTTCTGAAAGCGTCCAGGATATAATTGCAATTTAACCTTTAATACGTGAGTTACGTAACACGGTTTCTCGACGTCGCGAACGCGACTTGTCGCGCCAATTACATAATTCCACTCGATCATTTTCACCCGTAACACGCTGCACGCGTTTCATTTTACGATTAATCGACTCCTTGTGAAGCTTGCGGACAAACGTATGCGTGTGTGTGGAGAGAGGGGCGAAGTAGAAGCGAGTGAAATTCGAGAAAAATAAAAAAAAAGAGAGAGAGAGAGAGACGAAGAAGCGAGAGAAGAACGTGATATATAACGTGTGTATAGTATTTTTCTGGGCCGCGGATTTTTCATTAACGTCGTCGTCGGACCCCTGAATGAGGTGAAAATTGTACGAGTCATTATAATCTCTACTGATGTAATATACATGTTATATATTATAATCATAACAACCATAACAATTATCGATATATGATTATACTCAAGAGAGAGGAACAAAAAGCAAATGAAGTGTATATTAATTGTTGCAGAGTATGAGAATATTAATCGAGGAACGAGGTCAATGATTCTGACGATGAAATTAATCAGGGATCCAGCCATATTTTGAGACTTCTGAGGCAACAAAAGTAGAGTTTAACTGTTTAAGATGAAGGAGAGACGAGAGAAAAATAAAAGAGGTAATAACAAATGGTAGAATCTCCTTTAAAAAGTCGAAAAGAATCTGTTGCGAAAGGTATACTCGTGTCGTATGTAACTCTCTGACAATTTAGCCAGTAAGTTGGCAGTGTCGAGGTCGGACGATGTTGTCTATTCAGATTTTTATATCTCAAAATATTTACGCATTCGTTCACGTATGAAAGAGAAGAGGATGAGAGTTTTGCTTTTCTTCTCTTTTTTTTTTTTTTTTTTTTTTTTTTTTTTTTTTTTTGTGAAATCAACAATTCGAAACGAGTACGAAACTGTACTGTCTTGTAGCCTACGGACACGAGCACGTTCGCTGGGTCTCGTAACACGCGTCGTGCTCCAGCGTGTATACATTGTCATTTATTCTACGTATGTACGTTGTATAGAGAGCAAAGCGAACGATCGTCCGGCGATACGTCGTTCCCATAGAGAATATTGATTGTAAAACTCGATGTATTCTGGTAAGTTCGCACCAATAAAAAGTGGCCTAAAGTACCATGACTTTTGCTCTTTCTTTCTACTTTCTCTATACTTCGATCTTGCGCTGAAATTTCTGCGACTATGTTTGTTGCATTTTCAACTGTTTCTTATCTTTTTCTGGTAGGCTAGATTTTTTGCAGTAACATTTTCTTTAAAAACCTGTTTCAGCCTGTAGAAATGCAACTTTTTACACTGTACAGCCTGGTTGCCTACCTACAGGCACTTTCAAATATTTTTTAATCTCCCGTAATTTTGTTATTAAAAAATGCCTTCGTGATTTACAAGGGAGTGCACGATAATTTGACAATTGAGCAACGAAAAATTGCCAGTTGTCCGGAGAAAAGTAACAAACGATCAATTAATTTTCGAGGTTAATTACAGACGTTGACTGATGTCGCTTAACTATTAATTAAAGTACAGTTAAAGGGCAAATTAAACGGTTCGATGGTGGATCGAGTCGCGAGTCGCGGTCGTATCCAATTTCCCCCGATCAAAAATAAGGTTGTTAAGTAAGTTTATTGCGGTTCTCGTTTTACGAGTGGAAGACACGCATGAAAGCGCCTGGCCAGCGTGAACGCTGAATGATCGCACGTTTATAGCCGCAACCTTGCTCCTATCCAGCAATTTGTACCGTTGTAACTGACGTAAGCTCGCGGCAATAATTCCCCGGCGGGCTCTTTATGCGTACTCTAATCGATTCTCGAACGAGGAACCTCGACCTCTCTTCGTGAACGATGGAAAAATGCTCTGCAGGAGACCATAAACACCGCCCATATTGTATTAAATTAAACTCTCAGGATCGTCTTTATTTAGTGCCTAATATAAACCCTTGGATTCGCCAACAGTAACTTAACCAAAACTAAGAGTTTTCAACGCTCAACTGAACGCTTGAGCGATCAATTTACAAACGGTCAGAAATTTTCATAAATATTCCGTTAAAAAATTGCAGCTCGACTGAAAGAATATTTATACCATATATTTTCATAGATATTTTCTTTTACAGAAACCTGTGGTTCGCAAGATGTTTGCGTTAGAAATTTGTTGCAAATCGATTACTCCATGTATTAAATATACGTATGGAATAATTTTATTCGGTATATGTATATGGAACGATTTATTTCAATAGATTTGACCGGATTAAAAATTGTACCGACACAGGACACAGTGTCAGAAATGTGTTTTGCCGCAACCAAAATGAAGACACAGAGAGGAAATCGAAAGTCAACAGGTAGGTAGTCGCGGCGGTGATTTCACGCGGCTAATTCGCGATTGTGTCGCCCGTCCTTGCCGCAACTCGCGCTGAACACGATGCATTCCGGTTTTTTCCCGATCGTAAATAAGCGAATAAGCGTCCGTCGGCTGGAACGAGTCCGGGATCTCGATGACGACACCGTTGTCTCAACGCGTGTGTGAAACACTTGTGCTTTTCCTGCTGGTTTTTCGATAAACCGTTCGTCACCAGCCTCGACGCCCCCTCTATCTAATTATTTCTTCTCAATTTCAGACAAAAAACAAAAATCAATGTAAAAATAAAAATACAATAACATTGTAATATATCTTTAAAAGAAATTCATCGAAGTTTTCAATTTCTAATTTTCTTTACTTTGCTTGAATATTTTTTGAGAAGAATTTGCATTGAATCGCGTTGTTTCAACTTAATTGCTATTTTAATTTATCTCCTCGTGGCTCAAACAAAACGACGTTGAATTTTTTTCCCTGCTCATAGGCCACGATTGAAGTGCAGAAACGAGTTTTATCGTTGCTCGTGCATTTTTTTTTGTCACGCGAACACCGCTCACGGTAACGAATTCCTTTCTCTGTTTACAATTTTATCGATATCGCTTATTAAACAGTCGCTTGCGTCGTTCCATTATCTCTTTGTTCATCTTTGTCTCCCCTCCTTTCGAACATCTCCTCTGTCTCTCTCGACAACCGTACCACTGGCACGCCACATGTAACAATCGCAGGCCTGTCTCTTCCCCTCTCTTCCTCCACGTTGCATTCCCCTCCTCTTTTTCCTTTCGAGTAATCTTCCATGTGTGCAAAACTGACGTAACTTTTTGAAAAAGACACGTGGCTCCTTTGCATTTTTTTTTTTTAAATTTTAGTAAAGATGTTAGGTATCGAAGTGTAAGATGAACGTGAAGATGTATGTTTAGCGGGAATGAATTTATCGTTGGCTTCTTGCTGTCTCCATTGATCACTCTATTAAATCTCGTTTATCTCCCCAGCCTACGTTAATTATTTCGTATCGGAGCAACTAGTACTTGTCTTGGCTTATTAAGCTCTTCATAGCCGCCGCTGCTATTTGTCGGAGTTTTTCTTATACGTAGGCTCTGTATGAAGGATGTCGACGCTGGAGATTAACGCTCAAGAACACCAATGTCCATTGTAAGCGTGGTCTAATTATTCTGACCACGTTGATAGGAATGTAGGGCAATTGAAGAAAACCTTCTAGCCTTTTGATTTTTCTTATTAATTGCAAAGTGATCATCAGTTCTTCTAAATACATTCAAATTACCTCACATTTGGTTTTTCTTCTCAAACTTTATCAAACCTCGTTCAAATCAAATTCTAGCACGCAAAATCCTCAGCTCCCCTTTCAAACTTTTCCAAACCACAACAAAACTCAAATTCTATTTTTTAAACCATCCCTTAACCACTTCCATGCACCAGGATTCCCATTTCTTCTCCTCAAACATCTTTGATCTCAAATCAAGTCAAACCTCGTCACCCAAAATTCTTAAATCCTCAGCTCCCCTTTCAAACTTTTCCAAACCACAACAAAACTCAAATTCTATTTTTTAAATCATCCCTTAACCACTTCCATGCACCAGGATTCCCATTTCTTCTCCTCAAACATCTTTGATCTCAAATCAACTCAAACCTCGTCACCCAAAATTCTCATTTCCCCTTTCCAAACTTTTCCAAACCACAACAAACTCAAATTCTATTTTTTAAATCATCCCTTAACCACTTCCATGCACCAGGATTCCCATTTCTTCTCCTCAAACATCTTTAATCTCAAATCAACTCAAACCTCGTCACCCAAAATTCTCATTTCCCCTTTCCAAACTTTTCCAAACCACAACAAACTCAAATTCTATGTTTTAAATCATCTCTTAACCACTTCCATGCACCAGGATTCCCATTTCTTCTCCTCAAACATCTTTAATCTCAAATCAAGTCAAACCTCGTCACCCAAAATTCTCATTTCCCCTTTCCAAACTTTTCCAAACCACAACAAACTCAAATTCTATGTTTTAAATCATCCCTTAACCACTTCCATGCACCAGGATTCCCATTTCTTCTCCTCAAACATCTTTAATCTCAAATCAAGTCAAACCTCGTCACCCAAAATTCTCATTTCCCCTTTCCAAACTTCTTCAAACCCAACCAATCTAAATTTCATAACTAAAAATCCTCACTTCTTCCTCTCAAACCTCCTCAAACCCAACCAATCCAAACCTCATCGCCAAAAAGTCCTCATTTCTTACTCTCAAACTTCCTCAAACCCCATCAAACTCAAATTACTGCTCCCAAACATTGTACAAACTCTCACCTTTCACCCTGCCCCATCGATTACCCAATCCCTCGTCGTCCCACAGCCTGGTTTATTAATCGCTCGGAATCAAACCGACCCGTTGCTCGTCCTCTCTCATTAAGCCAGTCCCGTCTCCCCCCTCCAAGTGTCATCTGTTGTTCTATCTCGCTTTGTCAAACGTTTGCCCGTAGAAACGACAAGGATCCCTGTCCTCTTTCAGGCTAGGCACAGCGTTCCCTCTCTCCACTCTCGCCTGACATTCTCCTGGCGGCGCTCGTACGCTGTGTGTCGTGCAACGACGACAACGACGACGACGACGAGTACCACTTGCCTCTCTTGTCCATCGTGACGTGCCCGTCTCTTCAATTTCGCGGCCAAGTCAGTCAGTCAGCATCGGTAACGCATTATGCTAGGGTCGCGGTGGCACGTCGACGAGGCTACGACCGCGCGTGGAACGCCTCTTTTACCTGGAATCGGTGCATCGTGATTCCCCATGCACCCGCCAGAATCATGGGGAAGACCGCCAGCAAGCTGAAATCTCGCAGAAGCCAGAGTCAGTGCAACATTCTCAATTTTTTCAATTTTTCTCATTTCGAGTCACATATTTTCTCAGGTGTTTCCTTTTCTTGAGTGATTTAACAGGTAGTAGAGGATTATTGTGGAGTGTATTTGTTAAGTGGATACGAGAAAATCTTAATTTTAGGGTGATAGTGTTATTTATTCTTTCGGAGCTGTTTTCTGGTATTTCACTTTTGGAGGATTTTCTTCTTTGGTTAAATCACGAGGAAGTGTATTTGTGCGATTTAATAGGTTGGTAGTCGAGTGAGTCACGTGGATGTGAATTTGTGACACAGGCTTGATTATTAATCGAGGATTATTGCGAACAGTGTCTCTGAGTGGAGATGGAATTTTAAAGTTGTAGAGTGAGTCTAGAAGTGATTTTCTGAATGCAAATGAAGCTCCGAAATTTTAACGGGAATTCAGCTGTCATTCCTTGAATGAAGATGAAATGTTTGAGTTTTCCGGCACTTTGTGCTCAGCTAGTATAACAAAAGTGACTAGGTTTCAGGCGTATTCGGAAGTGGTTTGTTTGATAAGTGAAAGGAGTGATGAGTCGTGATGATTCAAGTAGCACGTGCTCGATGAGGAGCACGTTGCACTCCGTATAAGTAAAACTAAACATTTTTATGTTTCTCACCATCTTCGTTACCATTAAAATTGTCAAAATTATTTCTTTTAATTTGCAATATTTAAAAAAAATACATATAAAGAAAAATTCGTTGGAGCATGTTAATGTTCCAACTTTATCGAGATTTTTAATTCCATTTGAAAATTCTATTAAAAAGTCATATTTCTCCCGCGACAAAAAACGTGTTAATTACCACACGAAAAAGGAAGCAACTACCTACCGATCGATCTTGTTAAAAGAGAAACGAGGCCCACTTGAGCGATTCTCGTTTCGAGTCTCACGTTGTGCAACGCGTGAAAATGGAAGAAAAAAGAAAAAACGGAAAGAGCAGCGAAAAATCATACGTAATCAAAGAGTCGAAACGGGACGCGACGATAAGTCACCTGGCGTATCAGGCGTTTATCGTGGCGAGCCGCCTACACGCGCGGCTTGAGAATCGCGTCGGAGTTTTGTTTCAAAATCGAAACTGGTACGAAGTATGCTAAACGTGGGATGTAGGTCGCACGGTAGTTCCTTCTCTCGCGTGTACGCCTGATAAAAAGCAACGCTTGCACCGGCCAACGCCGAGATAAACGCGTGTCGCTGTGGATATTTACGCACTCGCTTGTACGGTTCAACGTGTAAACGGAGACTCGAAGGCGACGAAGCGCTAAACAGACGATAAACCCTCGTAAAATGTCTCTAATAATAGAATTTTCACAAATTTTCCTCGTGTACACACGATTACGCGAATTCGAGAGAGAAAATAGGAAGGAACAATTTGGGAAGGACGAGACTTTGACAAACTTTCGTTTTTGCTACTGTGCGCCACTATAGTGGCTTTCGCGAATCTCATCTTTTTGAACGGTTCGCCACTAAAGTGGCTTTCGCGTATGCCTTCACTCTGAACAGTACGCCCACTATAGTGGCTCATTCCGTCTCTGTTTCAAAGTATATCACACACAATTGTATTATTAATTATTATGTATAAGAAGAGACGACACTGAATAGACACAAATCGCAGTGCTATGTTGTCAACGCGCAGTCCGCGTCGAACGTTACCGTACAGAGATACAGCTCCGCGGAAAATCCTGCCGTAGCTAAAAGGTTAAAACGATTTAACTTTTTTTTGTCTTCTTTTCGGCTAATTTTTAGAGAATACCCTTTCCATTCCCAAATTATTCGAGCTCCGTAAGCTAGTAAGTACCGCTTAAAACATTTCACGTGGTATGTCTCACTTATACGGAAATTAACATTGGAAATTGTAAATTGACGTTACGAAAGATATTTGTTTTCCGATGCAGTTGGTTCTATGGAAAATTATGCGCAAGCTTTTAAGACACCCGTTACATAGCAGAATTAGCAAGGTAATGGAATTGCACATTGTAGCTTAGAGGACAGGGATCACCTGTTGCAACAGGTTCATAAATTTTTCATTAATGTCGCGAACCTCGAATCTTCTGGAGGTAGACAGGTAGAATATACGAACAGCGTATTGATTTTTATTCATCCACCAAATATTCTTATCATCTTTTCTGCAACCTTACAATCTTACATTTCTCGCAAATTGAAAGTATTTTTATACATTGCGTAAAACTTCGATACAGTGGAAATGAAATAACGAGGAAACGTGCTGTTGAAAAATCTTTCGCGTCTACTTGTAATAAGATAACTGTTACATACAGTAAACTTGATCGGAGAAAAACGAGCTTTTTCCTTTGTCATTGAAAACCGAGGCCGATTCTTCGCGCGTATCGTTAAAAAAGAACGTTTATTCACGTGCGTGAAACGTGCGCCGAGATTCCCCCGTTTCCTCCGTGGCCGCGTAATTATATGCGCGTTTACCTCGCGACAGGAATTTCAATTGGACCAAGTTTGTTGTACACAGCTGACAGTAAGCAACGGGTTACCGAGAATTTCGATGTAACCGTGGAGAAATCTGTACTTGTGCTTCGAGTAAAATAAAAATCCTGCACTTCGGAGGAATATTTCAAAACGGGAGGAAATTAGTATCTTCGGAAAAATCACTTCAGAAAACATTTAACGAAATTAAAATTGCAATTTTCAATATTAATTTCTACACAGACTGCTGTTACATAGGGGGGAAATTTGGACAATTCTCCACGCTGAATAGAATCCTTGAAAATCTTGCAAATTTTTATTAACAATAATGTAAATCAAATTATACATTGGAGATATTCAAGCACAACCTCCACCGTTCGATTCTGCACAAATATGATTTTAACGTGCGTGTAACATTGTTGACGAAAATTGGACAAAATGTCAGTGACTTGAACGTGATTAAACGAGTCTTTAAATCGGTGGAAATATTCTGAACGCTGATTCCCCTCTCGCTACTTTATTCGAGCTCGAGAAACAGCGCCTATCGCGGCTTTTTCGGTCGATAGTGACTCTCCAAACGTTGCACAGTTATCTGGGCAAACGGCGCGCTTATCAGCGTCGCCAGGTATTATGTCGACTAGCAACTGAGCGAACAAGCAACGCAAAACACACCTGCATTCCAACCTCTTGCTTTTTCTAGCTCGACAAGCCTCGTGCTTCTCTCTCCTTTCGAGTGTCCTGCCTGTCCTTTCGAGACCTCACAACGGGTGTCCTTTCTTTTTTTCGCCTCCTCAGGTATATACTCGGTGAAATTTTTGGAAATGCCCGGGAAACCTACACTAGGTGGTCGAAGAAGACATTCTAGAAAAGGGAAAGAACATTTCTCGGACACTCGAGAAACCCACTGGAAACACGAATGTCCTGTTTATGGTGGATTTGTGTAGTTAGGTCAGGGAGCGGCCTTTTTGGGAAAGGGACCAGCTGAGAAGAATAGGGAGAAAGTGTCCCTTTTTGTTTCTTAGAGAGGTCGAATATGAATAGGTCATTTGTGAGGGAAGATAACAATTTTTCTGCCTCTCTTTCTTTCTGGTTGATTGTTGGAGTGTGAATGGTATCAATTGAGTTTGATTATGCAGATTTATCGATCGAGAGGAATCGTCGGAATGAATGGTCCATTGTCTTGGTGATCTATCGCTGACATTTCAAGCTCGAAGAATTTTTCGTCTCTGTTATCACGATCTATAAATGATACACGTTTAAAGTATGCAGCGATGTTAGGTGGATGAGCTTATTTTCTATGCAAAAATAAAGTTCCTTATACAAATCACCAAGTATCGGCGGTTTCTTCCACGAGGTAGTACATTTATAATTGATTCAATGCGACGTGTCAGTGAGAGAAAGATAACGGCGCGATTATAGTACAGTAAGATAAATATTTAAAGACTCTTCGAAAACACCTTTCACGTGTTTCTTCGTTCTCATGATGAAACTTGTTAACGTTCGATCAAATATTCGTGTATACTTGTAGTTGTCGAAGCAGTCGATGGAAAATTTATACATTCGTGGCTACGAAAGCACCGAATTAAGTATTCTCGTGTTCACAGCTCGGCAAAATACTGAATTAAAGTGTCACGCGTTGACGAAAATTCACGTATTTACATCAGTGAAAAGGCTAAATAAAAAATTCAAAACGCTTAGGTCCATCAAAGCACTAAATCTACGCCGAAACTGGTAGCACGAAAGCGATTAAAGCTACAGTCAACGAGCAACAAAAGAGGCTTCTCTGAAACGTGACAAAAGGAAAATCTGTCCACGAAACAGCCCATAAATACACTTCCAAGCACAGCTCTCTGCCGTGAGGAAAAAGGAAACCGTGTTACGCGCGGCTGCCGCACGAAGCGTGCTCCTGAAAATAGAGCGGAACGGGTGTTTGGAAATTCTCTGGAACAGGTACTCTTTCGTGGCGAAAGACTGCACACACAGAGAGTCACGCGACTCTCGAACAATTCGCAAACAATTCCAAGAGGTAAAACACATGCAGCGTGAAAAGAAAGGAAAGAGAAGACGAAAAAGATGCAACGTGCTCGAGAGGGTTCTTCGGGAACGTTTTACCCGTCTGGAAATACCCTGCGAAAAGTCGCGAAGTCAAACGAGGGAACGCTGGCTGGTGTCCGCGACTGGAAAGGCTCGAGAGAACAGGTTTATATCCGCGCGTGTGAAGGCGAGCGAAGATAAACGAATCGAAGCGAAAGTGAGCCGAACACTTCAGTTTCTGGCCAACTGTTCGAACGATCTGCAGCACGTGGTCCGACTATTCTGCAATTTGCAGTAGAAGCGAGATTGGAGAAATGAAATTTTCGAGAATAGACAATGTGGATCCGTGAATGAACGGAGTTGGATCAACGCTGAACGATCTTGAGGGAGAAAGAGTGGATCCCAAGAGGTCAGTAATGAGCAGCGTGGTCATTCAGCGGCTGCACCTGCGATCGCGTTCCCCGTGAACGTGAATGATGCAGTGATTCCAACCGGAATTCCAGCGGAGGACGAGTCCAGCTGGCTTCTTGCAACGCTTCTGGAAAGTGAAACCAACGATTAGATACAGAGAACAGACGGTTTTTCAATTAGGTTACTGTTTTTTCGGGTGGAGAACCGTGAGTTGGATTAATTAATCGTGGCGTGAGGTAGATTGCTTCGAGTGAAGTGATAGTATTGTACATGTGCGAAGAATCGAGACCAGCGTCGTAACGTGTCTCCAGGAGAAATGTGAAATTCAAATTGCATTGAAAATTAAAATACAGAAATTTAATTGAAAGCTCAGTTTAATCAGAATTATAATGAAAAAGTTCGATCGTAAGATCCAGTAAGAATCCTAAAGTTAAAAATAGGCAGATTTAAATTTCAAGTAAAATTTTAAAAGTAAAATTTTCGCAAAGTGAAAATTTGCAATTCAATTAAAATCGACTAAATTGGAAGGAGCGAACTGCGTCATCGGCAGATTCCCCGAATTATTGACAAATGGACGGTAAAAGGAGTGTATACCCGAGGAACGTCTACGTGACGACGAATCGTTGACAGGCGAAAGAGGGGACGCAGATAAAAGGCATTAACTGCACCGATCGTACGCGTTTACGTCGTACGAGAACCGATAAAACCGTTCGGCAGAGCGCGAGAGAACGATGGGGGGGCGTTGGTATCCCTGCTCGCGATAGCCGATCGGCGACAAGCGGTTTTAAAACGGTTCCGATCGAGCGCGCTCCGCCGATTCGCGCACGATCCACGCGTCGTATAATATCGAACGGGAAATAATTAACGAGACAGAAGTGCGTGACGCGGCCATAAGAGCTGACACGATTCGGCCGCGAAGCGAGTGGCGCGCGGATTGGCGATGATCGTGAGCGAAAAGGATCGCGGCGCGCAGAAAAGTACCGGCATGCGTGAGTATTTGAGGACGAAGGAGGAAGTGTCTGGAAGAATCTGTCGTTACTTACCGATTTTCGAGAATTCAATTCTTTTTTTTTAATAACAGTGAATGGATTTAGGTTCTTTTTCATGTCCATGGAGTGGTGGATTCTGACGAAGTTAGGTTACGACGGAGGAATAATAATAATTCAATTGACAGTGTTATTTAATTGTAAAGAATGTGTCCTAAAAGAAAGAGGAGATAATTTGTCACTTTTCTGGACGATTAAGTTGACTTAACTTTGTAAACATACTCCTTGCACGGTGAATATAAGGGGATTCGTATTACTGACAGGAATAGCGTAGAGCAAGGATTTACTTTCTTTCGTTGAAATGGAATCTTGATCTCGAGTTAGGGGTTTTGGAAAGTGAGCGTTTCATTTCAGCAAGCAATGAGTTAATTTGATTTTTCGGTAATAGAATCGGTTGTAGTAAAGAAAATGAAAGGTGTACACTTCACTAAAGGTGAAGTATAAAATTTCTTAATAATAGGACTGTCGTTGAAGAGATGCAGGAAATGATTCCGCGAAACTACTTTGCATCCGCTACTTCTTGACTCGAATTCAAAGGGAAAAAGAAGCGAAGCTTGATTTCTAACTACTTTGAAAAGCTTGCAAACAGGAAGCTCTAAACTGTGCAGATATTTTTCGCACAAAACTAGTTTATTTATGGTAGCAGAACTGGAGGCTTTAATAACACGGTGTATGCTACAATGTTCTCCAGGCATAGCATGGAGCTTCCGGTTTCCATCTATGGGCACTCTGCAAAATCTAGGCGCCAGTGGCCGTCGTCGAAAGAGAAACGGCATATCCTCTTCAGCCTCTTGTAAGGATCTCCATCAGAAACGACACACGATCCACCTACAGCCGGAAGTAATTATTCAGAAGGAGCCATCTCTCATCGTGACGCCGCCGTCGCCGGAAGATCTAACTGAGGAGAACAGAAGGTATACATTGCTTACATGCTAACTAACCGCAGACTAACCACTCTAATCGTTCGAAGAAGCAAACATTTAAACACTTTGCACAACCATTTCCTATCCTCCTCAACTCTTCAAATCTATTTGATCTTCTAGATTTGAAGAAGGTTCAATTTAATTATAATCATCAAAGACACATAAACAGATTATCGGAGGCCCGCAGAAGTTATTCTACGGAAGATGTTAAATTTGAAATTTGATTGAAATTATTTACCATTTCTTGGGATCTCCAGGGCTAATAAAAACATTGAACAAAGTTACGTAGAGACATTTTTTTAAAAATTACCATGGACTTTCGAAAATTTTTAAATTCTAAATTCGATTTAAACTACTGCTAAATAGTTGACAATATGAAATATAATTTCCATCCTTCCGTGTTCGAAGAAATTTCAAAGATCTTCGTTAATTGATGACTCGAGAAGAATCCTAATCCGTCCGTCTCGAGTTTCACATGCACGCTTGGAAAAAGGATACGGGTGCAGGGAACTCTGGAAGGACCTTCGAAGGCCTTTTTCCAGCGGTTCGAGTCGAAATTCCCGCGTTATAAGTAACGAATTAGAGAGGGTACGCCGAGGTATAGTCGACGGAAGAAATATTTTCCGTTTTTCCATTGGAACTGAATCAAAGCTAAGGCACACTTCACGCGAGCCTGACTGAGAATCCCGAGCCCTTGTGTTCACAGATTTCTGTCGATTCGCTTGTCGATATTCCCGAACGCGTAAATTTTGACGCCTGAGCGAACTTACGACCTCGTGATATTTCTTCCACCGACTATACCTGTACGGGAAGATAATGGAGCCGGCAGGTCTCGAACCGGTTTTCCTCGATCTTTGCCTTCAAAGTGACGTCCTCCCTCGGTCGAGCATGCACGGGAATCCCATAACGGAAAGACAGTACAATGGGGGAAACTATGAAACGTTCCCCGATACTTGTACACTTTATACTGTGTTTCGTAATCCCTTTTTTGAAATCCGTCCGACAGCCGCGACGTCTTGTCTCGTATCTGAAAGTGATTTATCGGAACGTCGACGCGTGAATCGTTAATAACTTTGTATTATAGTGAACGTGGCGGGAATTGAAAGAAATATTAAACGCAGAGGAAATCGAGCGTGGTTAATAGAGTGTAAAGTAACGATGAAATTGATTCATTTTATGGTATGCCGAACAGCTAGGTGGTCGTTTATGATGGCGTTAATGGCGGGTTTAATTAGGGTGAATGAGGTATTGGAGTATGCAAATTTTCATGGATCGTTAATTAATTTGAAAGGCAGGATGTATTCTCTGTGAATAGGTGTCTTTGCAGTACTTTCGATTCTATTACAATCATCCAGAAATTTCTGTTTTTTGTAAACAATTAAGCGTTCTTATCTGTGCGAGTTTTGAATGGAAATAAATACAGATTTGTTCAGACAATTTGAATAATATAGTAGAAGGATTGTTCCCTTTCTACGACCTCAAAGGCCATCTTTCGAATAATCTAAAAGAAAATCGACGAAACCTAATGCAACGCGATTCTTCGAAAGTCAATGGTAAATACAACCAATCTCGCTAGGCGTAATCTAATCGTATCGATTACCTTCAATTTTGCAAACGTTTTTAAACTGCCTATCCCTTGACTTTCCTCACCGTTTTGCAAGCTTATCAAATTCACTCGGGCGAAATTCCATCGGAGTAAACATCAACCTTGGAACACTAACAACGGGCACTTTTCTTCCTGTTCATGTACTCACTTTACGAATATTAATTTCCTTTCAACTTAAAATAAACAATTTTTACAATTTCAATGTTAATGAAGTTAATAAAAGAGACGTGTGCCCCATTAACATTCCAGTTAATATTCCAGAGTTAGAAATATGAGAAAACTCGAGGAATGAGTAATTCTTAATTCCACTTTGGGTCAGAATCGCCCAAAATTCGTACACTTTTCTTGACCAAGGGATACTCTAATAATACGAGAATTATCAATATTAAGGTTAGTATTCCAGGGTGAAATCCACGGAGAACCGTTGTTCTCCAACAAAGATTTGACTGCAAGTCGAGTATCTAACGCGGTGATTTCAATGACTGGTGATCACACAGGCCCCCCACGATTTTCCGGGAACGGAGAGGGGAAGGATTGTCGATAAAACGTGAGCAGGGACGGGTGCATACGCGAATTAGAGATAACGCGCGGAATCCTGTCGCGGTGACATTAGAGCGGGAAGATAAGGCACGCGGCGAATTTCTGCGAATCGTTCTCGCGCCGACTGCATCCTCGCCACGTCTATTTATAACGCTGGGTGGAAATCGTTTTCGTTGCAATTTGCTACGATGGCTGTTAAATTCTATATATATATATATATATATACACATAGGGATTCGTTGATAGAGAAGGCTACACGTGTAATGGCCTGCGTGAAAGTGCGCAAATGGATGCTGTTGCGGTTTCTATGAAATCGATTTGAGGATTGAAGAGGAATTTTTGTGTCAATTTTTGGACCGCTCGAAAGAAATAGCAATTGCGTGAAATAAAATACAATGGAAACGTATAAAGGAATTTGGTCAAGTAAATTATTATGCATAAAAAAAATCTTGCACATACAGGGTGTCCCAGGTTTTAACCCTTTGCGATCGGCACATTTCTCTGGTTGGACTATCAGCTAGTCGAAGCAAATTTAAATTTTCAAAGTTATTTTTGCATAGTTTATTTATTATATATATAAGGATATTGAAAAACAGAATATTTTGAAACTGATACATTTTGTTTAATACATACTAGTTATAGTGCATAAAAATAAAACGTTTTAATTTTTGTAATTTTCCAAAGTATGATACTTGACAAAACAAAGATCATGCCGCCATAGCGGCGACACCGATTTCTAGAACAAAATTGAAATGCCGCCACTATGGCGGCACCGATCGCAAAGGGTTAATGGCCAAACGTTGGCCATAAAAAGAAAAGAATGTTGTACAAACATAGGTCTTTTAGAGCTTCGTTAAAAAGTCACGGCGGTAATACGAAATGAAGGAAACAATCGCACACTCACGGTTACTGCCATGTAGAATAATAAAGAAATAGGTCATCAATATTTGCGCGATATGCACAAGGTCGCGTAATGAATTGATACAAAAAGTCATTGAAACAAAATAATAACGAAATTCGCAGAGTAATCTGATGTCAGTCTTGCATCGCCATAAACGGTGGACATTTTTTTGGATGGAGTAATTAGTTGCTTCTTGCATAAACAGAGTAAACGTAAATATTGCTGATCTACTTCTCGCAGCAACCGCGAGTCTGCTATTGTTCTCTTAATTTTATATTATTGCCATAACTTTTTAATAAAGCTCCAAAAGACCTACGTTTGTATAACAGTTTTTTCTAATTTCGACTCGTAGAATATACCGACAACGTTTGGCCATTGAAACCTGGGGGACCCTGTATAGTAGGAGGAATGATCTTGAACGATGAATTGAAACGTATAAAGGAATTAGTAGAAAAATACGAAAAAACAGCCTTGCACGTATAGTAGGAGGAAGGACCTTGAACGATGGATTCATTTTACGAGGTACATAGCACCTTACAACAGATGTAACCTCAGAAATCATGTTCAATCCTTATCACGGAGCAAAACATAGGTATATACGAGACGATAGGTATATACCAAGCGTGTGTAAAACAAGTTACAATGGATCAATTTCAGAAACAACTACCGAAGAACGATGATCATTACGTAGAACTGAATGGAAATAGGTTTAGGGAGCCACGTTTCCATCCGTTCTAAAGGCGGCGCCCACATGTTCAATCTTGTGTAACCAAATAACAGCGGATGTTCACTAGGGTCCTCCGTCGAATTTGCTCTCTTTTTTTTTACTTGTTAGTACGGGAACGAAGACATACGATCAGAATGTTCCAATAATTAAACGAAGGTAAAAAGGTTTCTCAACCCTTTCGCGTTATTAATGCATTGTCAGAATTTACGGTACAATTGTTACGAATCGCGATATGTTTGTTGCGAAACCGATAATTGTCCCTCTTTTTGAGTCAGACCATTTGAGGAATGTTCTCAGGATAGGGGACTCAGGTAGTGCTCGAAAGATAGATTATTAACGTACAACAGTTTGCTGTTAAAACTATATATTTGCGAATGAACGTTGTGCAGAGCGCGAAATGTCTAGGCTTACTGATAGGAAAATTGTGTCTGGTGTCGTGTGGGGTTCGCTATTTTATAAACTACGTGTGTGTTGTGATTGGTGGTGTGAAAACTGTCGTAGGTGGTGGAAGTGTGTGGTGGTGGTGTGAAAGTGGGGAATTTGTTCTTACATTTGTTATATTGCTTGTCTGAAAATTGATGACGTCGAAGGGCATGTGGTGTCCAGGTGTGAGAGTCGTCGAATTTTTGGTGTAATAAAGTAATTTGCCTCGCTTTTTAGAAGGTGCTGTCTATTGAAAATAGCGATGTTATTGTTCGGCTCGTCGGTACGTCTGTTACGCATGTGACACAATTAAAACGTAACTTGCACCTTATTTACAATTCATGCAAAGATTTTATATATGAAAATATTTATACAGTTTCAATATTAAAAACTTTCTAAATTTATAAAAAAATGTGAAATACTCTTTTTCGTCAGGGAGTAGGAAAGAAACGAAGAAAGTCGAAAACATGGAAAAATAATTAGTGAGATTACAACGGCGCTGCGGTGCTTTCGTAGATAATTCAAGGGAAACAACGAACCGAGTGACAAGTTATCGAAGACCTTCTAAATTTATAAAAAAATGTGAAATACTCTTTTTCGTCAGGGAGTAGGAAAGAAACGAAGAAAGTCGAAAACATGGAAAAATAATTAGTGAGATTACAACGGCGCTGCGGTGCTTTCGTAGATAATTCAAGGGAAACAACGAACCGAGTGACAAGTTATCGAAGACCTTCTAAATTTATAAAAAAATGTGAAATACTCTTTTTCGTCAGGGAGTAGGAAAGAAACGAAGAAAGTCGAAAACATGGAAAAATAATTAGTGAGATTACAACGGCGCTGCGGTGCTTTCGTAGATAATTCAAGGGAAACAACGAACCGAGTGACAAGTTATCGAAGACCTTCTAAATTTATAAAAAAATGTGAAATACTCTTTTTCATCAGGGAGTAGGAAAGAAACGAAGAAACTTGGAAAAATGTAAAAATAATTAGTGAGATTACAACGGCGCTGCGTTGCTTTCGTAGATAATTCAAGGGAAACAACGAACCGAGTGACAAGTTGTCGAAGACTTAAACCTTGTGCACACTCGCGAGATTGTATAATTAAATTGTTAATTACTCGAGTAAATTAAAACCTAATATTATCACAGTTTGAAGGGAAATCAATGATCATTGAAGCAACGTTTGAACGAAACTTCAGTTTCATTTCGCCCTACGGTTATTAATAATCAATCTCCTCGACAGGATTCGATACTTCCATTCGGTATACACAAACAGACCTGACATTTCACGTAATCATCGTCCACCCGTGTTTTCATATCGTCCGAAGGACGCGCATCCCTTTCCTCGAGGCACTGTAGGATCGAAACAGAATGCACAGATGCGTTTTATTACACTTATCGAGCGGTCTGTTGCGACGCAGGCGCGCCAGCCCCCATACGCAACCACCCTCTTCCCGAATAAATCAATAATCGCCGCTTCTATCGGCTAGGCGTAACGTGACAATGCACGATAACGCCGAATTTCCAAGCAACCAGTCGCTGTAAAATCGAGAGAGAGCCGTTGGCCGAGAGTTCACCGATCGAACGGCCGGTGTCAACTCGACGCTGAAAGCCACTCGAGAGAGCGGAGAAAACGCAGGCGTGGGTGAGAACGCGACGGGACACCATGGGCCCCATTCAGTGGCGTACTTAGCGTGACAAAAATGCAACACCCGTACACTTTCGAACTTAACAGACAATGCAGAAAAATTGTTCACTGATGATACGTTTTAAATAACAGAGAAAAAGTTGAGAATTAAATAGAAATATATTGTAAGGTAGTTTGCAATTATTTGAAAATCGTTTCGATTCATAGTTGGACGAAGTTTCAGTATGGAGATGAGAAATCATTTCAGTTGGCTAGGAGCGAACGACGACCGTGTCGAATTAGTCTCTCTACGTTGTTCTATTAATACCCCGCGGGGCGCCCCTCGGGTCCTCGAAAAACACGGCCCTGTTCGCGTCGTGGCTTTCCACGCACATAGTTCAGTGGGGTGCGCGCGCTCGGCCTGAGAGCCGTGTGGCCAAACCCTATCTGTCCTCACGATTTTCTCGCGAGTTTAAAGTGGAATTCTTCGTAGAGAAGAAAGTGGTTTTTAACGTTCCGAAGGGGGGGGAGGTGGTTCGAATTGAAAGAAACAAAGGGGTGGAAGGTGGTAACGAAGGCGAGATGTGAGGGATACACGGTGTAAACTTGATTTTTCGACGCAGGTCGTCGGAGGTAAAGGTCGTGGAGGAGGAGGAGGAGGAGGCGGTGAACAGAAGGGAGGACCGCGAAGAATCCGCTGCGAGAAGGGTTGACAGCAACGACTATTCTAATCTACCAATGGTGAGTGAGTAAATCAGTTTAAGGAATCATTTTTTCGGCTCATTTTCAAGTGTACAGTTTCATAGGGAATTTTATTAATCTACCAATAGAGAGCGAGTAATTCAGTTTGAAGAATTTTCAAGTGTGTAGTTTGATAGAGAATTTGATGAACGGCAGAAGCAAGTGAATTTCAAAAGTAAATCGTATCAGAGAAGAAAACTCGTCGGTATGAAAAATTCGCTTCCCTTTTAAGTTGCTAATAGGTCGGTTCAGTGTTAATGCATGTGCAATGTACAAAAGTGTTGAATTTGTGACAACACCTGGAGACGGTTTCGACGATTGTTCTAAATTCTAGCGAATTGTTCGAATTACTTGCTTTCCAATTTTCGTACACTTTTCATTTTTAATTTTTAATCCGAGAAAAACATTTGTTTGATGAAAAAATTGATCGGAGTTGTTGAGTGTGTACTTAGAATTAGAGATGGAGAGAAAGAGAAATCGTGTTGTTACGAGGTGCCAAAATAATGGAGGTTGATTACGTTCGAGACGGAATAGTAAGAAGCGATAAACTGATCGAAAGAATGTGATAATTGATTCGTTTATGCTACCAACTTGATGATCCAGCTTTCACACGTGACACGCTAAGCCGCTGATAAGTTGTACGCATGAACGCTGACTTCGTTGATCCCTTTATGGGCTAGCCACTCAAGGCTGTTCTTGTTAAGCCAATCTTGCGGTCTCGTACAGTCGAGACACTTCTTCATTGATTCACGCGACTGTCTTACGTGAATAATCGCTGGAAACAATAGTGAAACTTCTCTTACCCATGCGTTGCATTTAATTAAAGTCATATCGTGAATTTTAGAATTCTTTTATAATTAAACGTACGTTTAAAATAAAAATTAGTATCTGCAAGAAAATTTCGAAACTTTTGATCTCGAGAATCGTCGGATTACAGTTTACATTACAGTTTATTATAATTTATCGAATCGGAAAGATTTCGGAGAAATTGCTGGTTTCCACGAAGTTCAAGGCAGGAAAATTCAAAGTTTGTACAATGAAAAAAAAAAATAAAGACTCTCTCAGAGTCGTTAATATTTAGCAGGATGATAATTCTGAAGCTTCTTTTGAAATTCAAATATCCAATAAGCTGCATTCTTCTGGAACACTTCTAATACCTAATTTAAAATTCCCATTGTCGCCTATCTGATTCAGGAGCCACCAGAAGAGTCGACTCGTAAGCTTCTGGAGCGAGAACTTCGACTTCTGGACCCTAGAGATCTGAGATCGCACGCTTGGTACCATGGCAGCACTCTCAGAGGTGGTAGAAAGGGCGCTGAGGCGGAAGTACCAAACGACGGTGACTTCCTGGTTCGCGACTGTGCCTCCCAGCCCGGAAACTACGTCCTCACGGTCCGGTGGAAGGGCCAGCCTCTTCACTTTGTCATCAACAGGGTGAGTTTCCTCGAAATTCACGAATTCTTTAGTCCGTACAAATGATTCAAAATTTTGTCAACATTCGAAAAGATCAAATTAGAAGAGATACTTACCCCTACGACAATGTCTACGCAATGTGAGAAAGAAAAATTGATAAAAATCAGGAGAACGAATGTGAATATTGAAGGAGAGATCAGAGTGACGAATTCTTTGCTTAATCAGTCTCTGCTCAAAATTCTTTAATATTTAGAAAGATAAAACTGGAAGAAATGTCTACCTTTGTGTGTCAAAACATTAATATCTACACAGTGTGAAAAATAGAGAAGAAAGAGAAAAGATACACAGAATCCATCGTTGCAGTCTTAACTAAATTCCTTCTTTACAAAAAGAGAAGAAGAATGAACGCTATCCCAAGCAATTGACGAAATATCTTTCAACAGGTGGTAATCCAACCCGAAACAGTATACGAAAGGGCCCAGTACCAGTTTGAGGACGAGGCATTCGACACGGTAGCCGACCTGATAACCTTCTACGTGGGCAGTGGTCGTCCTATAAGCCAAGCCAGTGGTGCTCGTATAATCACACCGAAACCAAGATCCGTACCCCTAACCTGTGTCTCTGGACCCACGAATAACCAACACTGTTCCAGTCCCTCCTCTTCATCTCTATCCACCGGTTCGCCTCCTCGACTGCCTCGAAAACAGCAACGAAGTCACTCTCTGACAGCCCAGCATCATCCCGCAGACCAACACGATGCTCGTCAAACGACAAATCAACAAGCAACACCTCACGGATCGGTCCAATCGAGCACTCTACCTCGAGTACCACCGATTCAGAACCAGCCACCGTCGTGTTCCTTATCCTTAGGTCGTCAAAAGATCACCAGGGTGATCTCCGACCCAGCCCTCCAGCAACAACAGCAGCCAGTTCTCCAACCTCCAACTCTGAACCATCAAAACTCCCACGGAACTGCTCCGCCGAAGCCTCCAAGGGTACCGTATGCACCTAACCATCAGCATCACGCTCATCATCATCACCATCACCACCATCATCATCACCAAGGCTACCAAGCTTCCGGAAGTGACAGTGGAAATGGTTCTGGAGACAGCGAATTCGAGACGAATAATTCTGGCGGTGCCAGCAATCCTTCCTCCTCTGTTCCTATTAAAGGAGTGGTAATTAGGAGTCATTACAACACGAGTAACGACGGCACCAACGGGAACAACGGAAACGATTATGAGTTGTCTGGAGAGGAGCAGCTAGTCGTGGCTGCTCCTTCTCTGGAGATCACCACAGCGTTGGACATCGAAGGATTCACCACTTTGCTGCTACCAGCTGGTGAACACAGGCCGTTAGATCCAACTGCTTTGAGAGGTGTGTCAGGAATGCTTCACGATTCTGCTCCAAGGGTGTTAGCCTCGCATTTAACGAAGATCGACCTGGAGTTAGCTCTTCATCCTGGTGCTGGAAGTAGAAACGGTCTAAGCGGTATCGAATTAGCTACTCTGCCCCATGGTAGACAGGCCAGGATAGATCTGATCGAGAGATCAGAGTGTTTGAAGCTCGTTGTGGCGGTGACTGTGCTGGCTGGAGCCACTGCTATCGAGAGAGCAGCTACTATTAGTAAATGGATCAAAGTGGCCATCGATACGAAGACAGCTTTGGGCAATTTGTACGGTTTCTGCGGGGTAATGCTCGGTCTCTGCCTACCTCAGATACAGAGGCTGGCGAATACGTGGCATCTACTCAGGCAGAAGCATACCGACGAGGCTTTCAGTTTCGAGGCCAAGCTTAGACCAACGTTACGTGCAATGAACGAGTGTACCAACCCTCAGGCACCAAATACCACGCTTCCACACTTGCTGCCTGTCGCTTTGCTTGGAGAACGTGGACCAGAAGACATTTTGGGTGCGTCGAAGCAAAGTTTCGTGAGATTTTGGGCAATCTTGATCTGAATCATTCTGATTCAACGTTTGATATAATTGAAATTTTTCTTGTTCTTTTAGGAACGGTGACACCATCAGGCCTAGCAGCAGCTATTCTGTCGCCCTGGGAGAATTCAGCACCGGACTGTGGTTTATCTATCGTATGGTCTCACTTAGAATCAGCTCGAAAAATGGCAGAGAATCTTGCGCTGTTCCGCAGGAACGCAGAAATCGTTCTCGAAGGCTCGAGAAGCGACGAGCTCTTATCAGACGCGTTCAGAACAGAATTTCATATAAAATTCCTATGGGGAAGTCGGGGTGCGACGGTAGCGCCCGAAGAAAGGCACCTGAAATTCACGCAGGTGTTAGACGCGATGTTCGACAAGTGTTCGTCGAGCGAAGTGACGGCCTAAAACGTGAACAAAGGAGTGACCGCAGGATGTCTCTGAATTAGTGAATGTACGTGGAGAAGTAGGTAGAAAATTTAGAGTGACATTTTCTCATAGGGAGCTTCATTTCTGAATAAACCGATGTTGAAGATTCGTCGAGCTCTTTGAACATTTTCTAGAATATCTACTGTTTTCGAATATTTTCTCTTTGAGCTATCCTTATTTGTCTACTCGTCGTAGTATACAAGAAATTTGACATAACTCCGTAAGTAAAAATCAAGGACCAAAAGTAAGAATTTTAATTGAAAATATCGTAGGGGAAAAATTGTTTGTTGCCTTTGTTGAAGATATGTATCGAAAGAGATCTTTCAGAATTTCACATGATTCGAAAATATTCATTTTTGAACTTTGGTTTTTAAGATTAATATCAATATTAACTTTTAAAGCTTTAGTTACGAATTACCGAAATGATTAAAAGTTTGGTCGATTACCGATAACCATTATTAAAATATGGCGAAAGTTTTTGAAAATAATTGTTACACCATAACTTTTTTGTTTTTTGTTAATATTATAACAATTGCAATCTCTGGTAAAAATTTTAAAATCCATCAGTGTCAAGACTGTAGATTTTATTTTACGATTATAATCGATTCAGCAGGTTCTCACGTTTATTTCGTTACTTATCCTTCACTATCTAGTGTGAAAAACATAAAAACAGCAATGCAGGCGTTTTCGACGAATTTTCAACATCGATTCATTTATGCAAAAGAAGTTTCCTATAAAAAAAAAAATGCTCTTCTACATTTTCGAATTATTTCTTCTATTTGAATGGTCACTTCGGAGACACCCTGTATGTGAAACGTTCGATTACGTTGGTAATCGTTGATTTTTTAATGCAAAACGAACTCTTTCTCGAAGGAGGAAAACAAGGGACCCGAATATATTTAATTTTCGACTTTTAGTTCGTACGTGTAAATTATGATTGTGTAATTATGTAATTAAGTGATTGTAATTATTAATTGTACTTTAGTATTTTATTTGGTAAGGTTCGCGATCGATTGTGATGAATATTTTGCCATTTTACGGATAATTCTTCTTTTCCAACGAGATCGTAGGCTCGTAAGTGTGATCTATGAAATATAATTCTCCCGTTGTGACGAATTTACAAGGAAGAAAATTGAAGGATTAATCAACAACGAAATAACGGATGTCGTCGCCACGATGGCGGAATTATAAACGAGAAACAAAGAATCAAAAGTAAATAGCATTAACGTGACATGCAAACGTAACTATATATCGCAGATATAACGATGAGATGTGTCGTATTTAACGCAATAACAATTCCCGAGGATAATTAACGATCCTTCTTTAAATACTATTAACGCAGAACCGCATTTAACGTCTCGCTGAGAAAAGATGGCGTCGATATGATAATCAAATCGAGTTGAACTTGTCGTGTACTTAAGCTCTAACCGATCATATTATTATTCGGCCGATTATACGTTGTAAATGTTGTTCACGTTTGTTCACATTTAATAATATATAAAGAGAATGAAAATCAATCCTGAGTATTTCCCTTTTCTCCTCTCAACTTCAGGCGTTAATTGATAAGAAAAATTGGCTGATTTTGAATACTACGATCGCACGAAACATTGACATTGATCAAATTGGCGAACGTTGAATATTCATTTTAAATAGTAAATATTAAATTTTAAATATTACCTTTCAAACGTTAAATATTATATTTTAAATGTTTAATTTCGAATTTTCAATTTTCGATATT